TCCCCCGTCAGACGGTCCACTCCAGGTTAATAACAGGGTCGGCTCCTAAAGCAACGAACCTCTGCCCTGGATGCCTCCTAGAGAGAAGGAACCCTATACTCCGACTGGGTTTTCGGAACCCTAATTACGTTAGAGAGGGTCGGCTCCTAAAGCAACGAACCCCTGCCCTGGACAGCTGTTACATGCCCAGTTGGTCAATGTACTTATAAACCAATGATCCGCAACGAACAGGCACTGTGTTTTGTTTTAGTGCTAAAGATAAGGTCATGTCTGTTCAATAGTAAGTCAAAGGTCACAGTCCTAGGCCAGTCACAGTTTCCAGGGTCACGTCTGATTCAGTCCAGGAGTCCAAAAGACAGGCCCGATGGCCACAGCAGCAGTAGACCATGGAAAGGGTACCGGGATACACATTTTGCAGCAGCAGGTACTGGGTAAGAGTCCCAGGTGAAAGGAGGCTGGACGCAGACCTCATTCAGCCAGTCCAATTGTATAAAGGACCTGGCCAGCCTCCCATTCGGCAGATTCTCATGGGCATGAGAGTGTGGAAGTGCTGAGGCACTTGTGCGCCAGAATGCCAGTGAATTGCGCAGGCTAGAGAGCTGTGCTAAGGAAGAAGAAGGGAGCTGGGCGCTGGCTGAGTGAAGCAGCCATAGCTGATCCAGCAGAAGTTAGTAACAGTAGAAGGGTTAGTAGTAGGAGTACCAGTGAGTAGTATTCAAAGTAGATCCTCGTGTGATAGGTAGTGTGCATGCATATTGAGTGTGAGTAAGCCAGGATTATAGACATAGAGGGAGAGAGAGAAGAAATCAGACAAAGGAGGGGAAGGAGTGAGCTATGGTGACACTTACCTGTTGAGCGCTGTTGATGATGATTGGCAGTTGGCGCTGATGAGTGCCAGGCCTGAAACTCGTAATTGATTGAAGAGTACTTGTAACTCTGTTCAGCGCTATACATTTTTGGACTCACGTTTCCCTCTCCTAATTTCATTATGATGTTTTGAGTTGAGCTTCCTGGTTCTTATTCATTTTCCTTTGAGCTATGAGTGAGATATCACAATCTGTGAAATCTGTGTTTATGCATGTGATCTGAAGCACTCCAGCAAGTGATGAATAGTCGGGTTCCTTGCAATACGGAGTTAATACAAATACAGCGGAAGCGTTGATACCCATGGACTGACTCTGACCTGACTCGGACTGCAATCGAACACTCTCAATCATGCATCAGTGGTGTGAAAGCCCTGGCCTTGGACATAGAAGAAAGGCCAGGGTCTGAGATCATACACGGACAAATGGAGGGAGGAGATACGAAGGGAGGAGGAGAGGGAAGATGACGTCAACTTTATGTTTCCAAAGATAGAATCTTGAAATGTCAGAGGCAGCGAAAATCCGAAATGTCGCGAACACAGTGTCTCACAATGTCTCAGATATCGATCTCACAATGTCAAGTACATCTTCAGAGGAAGATGAAATCAGATCCCACGAGTAGTCCTGAACCTACAGTCCCAATGTCGCTGTCTCCAATATCATCAGAACTCGTAACCATC